AATAACCTTTCCCCCTTTTTCCGGCCTGGGTAGGGCCTATCTGGGGTTATGTGTCCCGTTTTTCCCCCCCCCCCCCCCCATTACAGAAAGGATGTGGACGAATTGGAGAGAGTCCAGTGGAAGACAATGAAAATGGTTGGGGGCTAGGGCACATAACTTATGAGGAGAGGGTGAGGGAACTGGGCTTATTTAGTCTAGAGAGAGAAGACTGAGAACAGATTTAATAGTGGCCTTCAACTATCTGAAGTGGGGTTCAAAAGAGGATGGAGCTAGACTGTTCTCAGTGGTGGCAGATGGCAGAACAAGGAGCAATAGTCTCAAGTTGCAGCAAGGGAAGTTTAGGATACATATTAGGAAAATCATTCTCACTAGGAGGGTAGTAAAGCCCTGGAACATGTTATCCAGAGAGGTTGTGGAATCTCCATCTTTGGAGGTTTTTAACAGCCGGCTAGACAAAGCCCTGGCTAGGATGATTTAGTTGGTCCTGCTTTGACTAGGTGGTTGGACTAGATGACCTCCTGATGTCCCCTCCAACCCTAAGTTTCTATCATTCTATATTATTAGTGGAAATCAACATGCTCCATGAGCCCAAACAGCATAAAACTAAAAATTGTCTATATTTGCTTTTTCATTTCTAAACATCTCAATTTTTCACAGCTATAGGTTTAGACTCTTGTCCTGAACCACAGACCCCTAGCAGTGGAATTAAAATTGGAGACAGATACATGGTTGGAGATGTGGTATCTTTCCAGTGTGATCAAGGTTATTCCCTTCAGGTATGTCGGGTATTTTGCAGTTTCAAGTTCTCTCTTTTAGTTCTTTAATGTTTTTATATCTAAATAAATCTATATTGTGCCCACACTAAAAATGCCAACGTACTGGAATAAATTATAATTATGAAGTTTTTAAGTTTGTCTCCATCAGATAGAACATCTATGAAACTGTCTTTCAAAGATCATGGTTCTACATTTCTGCTGCATAATGATTGTAGGTTATTGTTTAGTATTGTTTACACATTCTTAGTTTAGTGACGGGTCATGATCTGAGGTTAGAGAGCTAATAATTTTCAGTTTAAATAAATCATTTCATGAATAATATTACTAAACCATGATGGGTAAGAGGTGAAGGAAAAGTACCAGACAAAGGAAAAAGAGCAAAGAGTGAGAAGGGAATATTGACTAATGTTCTTGGGAAATCATTGTTTTTCTGGGAAAGCCATTAGTTTTCTTTCATATATTCCTTTTTTTTGTTTCTTTGTGTGTTTGTTTGTTTTAACCTGAAGGCAGATTTCAGAAATGAGTGTGTTCCCCCACTCCCAACACCTCCCCCCTCCCCAAATAAGTAAGCTATTCCCCTGCACTGAAAACAGGTTTGGAGATCATTCAATAAGAATGAATTACAATTAGTTTTGTCAAAAAGAGCTTACTTATTTCAATTTTTTGATATGTGCAGCCAGTAAGAACTTGTGTATCTATGAGAGGCTTGGGTTTTCTTTTGCTGCTTCTTATAGCTAAACTAGAGTACCAAATGCAAAAACTAGCACTGTATGGTTGAGCTAAGGCTCCAAATAGTATATAAGTGTGTGTGTGTGCGCGCGCGCGTGCGCGTGCACATGTATTCCTCATCTATTACACTAAAAGTAATAGTCTTCATTTCACTCAGGTTTTTCAGAGCATTAAGAAGGAGAGAACACAATACTATCTCTGCTACCTGGGCAAACTATGTTGCAGGACTTGTTACACAATGAAATGCATCCTGAAGTGAAGAGAATGTTACACATGAGCTTTCTGCTGTCATGTAGAAATGCTTTATAACCCATTATCAGAATTCTTGACACCTTCTAAAAGAAAGCAGAGGCCTATACCTTTGCTTTGCTGTTCTTCAATAATGCCACTCATGCTCACAGCAATCACTGACTCTGCATTGGAGGGATGAGGATTGGAGGACCAAAGTCGATCCTCTAGCTGCTCTGTAAAACAAAATTAGTACCTCAAAACCAGGGGATAAGCAAAAAACAGATGGTCTAAATTGTATAGACCTAAGTAAAATACATTCTGCAAAACAGTAGGTGTGTCTTGTCATCATTCAAATGACAATAAAACTCTTGTAACCCTGTCATTTCAGCTAGACATGTCATTTATTCTTCACATTGGGCAAGCCCAGCCTCCAGCAGCAATGCTGCTTTTCATCATAATACTGAGGATTAAGAACTGTCCTTCACAAAGCTGTTGAACTTCAGAAACATAGTTGTAATCTCTCAGAAAAAGGAATTTCCCTGGTTGCTGGCCAGGGAGGATAGATACAAACTTACATTTTTACCTCAAATCTTATTTTTTTTGCACAAGAATGGTGCTGTTCCTGTAGCAAAGAATGGGGTTCCCCACACTTTTGACAGTAGCAGTAGTTTAAAAGGAATTACAGACCTGAAATCCTGTTCTGGACTGTATAGCCAGAAAAAGTTATAAAGGATGAGCTATACATGAACAGAAACATGCTTTCATGGAGTTCATAAAGTCAAACATTGTCTAGGTTTTTTGAACTGAGAAGAGTTAAGTCATGCCATGGGCAAATCTTTAAATATAAGTTTGAAAGAGCAGAATGAGGTTTGTTCCACTTTTGGTTAAGCAAGTGGCTGTTGTGGTATTTAGTGCTCCCTATGATAAGCACAGCAGGAGGCAGTATGATCAGCAAATAAATGTTTGAGCTAGGGATAAGAAGGCAAAGCTTTGGCAACAGCTATTTGTTTTCCTTCCTGGCTGTAATGGCCTTTTCTTCTCCTCTCCCAGATCCTTAAGATGACATTTGAATTTTGGACCTGTATTGTTTCCCTCTTCTAGATCCTTACACTGTCATTTGGATTTGGGACCAGTGTCCTTATCCCTCCTTTTATTTCCCTTAAACTGAGTTCTTCCTTCTTCCAAGAACAACTGATGGGTCTCTCCCAGCTCTAGTGCTGATTGCAGCTTTGACTGTGACCTTTCTCCTCCTACTGAAGACCTGTAGCAGGGCACTGAGGTGCCTGCTACTCTTGGGAGCAATGAGGAAGAAGCCCAGGTGCTGATTGCTAGGGCAACTGGAGGGAGCCAGTGACTCATACCTGTTAGCGGTCAGCTGACCAGAAGGGGCAAGGCCTGGCTCCCATTTAAACCCCAGGGCTGAGGCCAGGCAGGCAGTTCCCTGCTGTCAGCTGCAGGGGAAGGAACTCTGCCAGAGCATGAGCAGTTTGGTATGGGTGAGGGATGGAGCACCCTTAGGGGTGGCTCGAGTGATGTTTTAGCCAAGCGGCAGAAGTTTATGTTATAGCCTAGGGGCTTGAGTTTTTGTGTTTGCTGTTTACGACTGGAGGTTTGGGTGAGGCTATTAGGGGATGGAGGAGGCCTCATTTTTGAGGACCCACTCCGGAGTGGGAACCCTGGCGCCAGCAAGGACACAGCTTTTGTGGGGGTCACAGACCCCAGCGCCAGCAAGGGACTGGCGGGTTGGCCCTTGTTTTGAACCTGTGGCCCTCTTGCTGTGGGACCTGCACCCATACCCCTGGGCCAGGGAGGGCCGTGCTCCAGAAGGAAGCAGAAAAGGGGGCCCTGAGCCTCCAGGCACTTGAAGGAAAAGCTAGAGCCTAGGAATCAAACCCTGTGTGGTGGGCTTGAATGGAGAGGCCTAGCTAGAATAAAAAGGGGTCAGGCCGTTCTAGAAGAGACTGCAACATACCCAATAGAATAGGCAGTCTCCCGCTTACATAGTAAATTCCATCACGACGTGGCAGGCGAGATTAGAGTGGGACAAAATGATTCCAAGAGGGCTCCAAGGGTGTCCCACATAAGGTGTGGGTGACCAGGAAGATGGCGCCGGGGAGGGAGGCCCATTACAAGACCTCAGATTACTAATTGTGTTGTGCAGCAAAAGACCATATAAGGATGATTTTACTGGGTCTCTGAGGGGAGCAGCAAGGCATTTTCTGGTTTACTTTTACCTTTGTTGTATTTCGTATAAGAATACTGAAGTGTGAACACAAGTCATACTGAACACATGAAATAAATTATATGAAATTAAAAAAGCAAGAATGGACTACAGACTGTACAAACGTAAAAAATAAAAGTCCTCTTCCTGCATTTTGCTGTTGCATACAGCATGACATTATCACTTTGGCTTTGTGTCAGTGGTGAATAGATAACATATGCTTGGACCAATGACAGAAGTGTATTTGATTTTTTTGTTTGTTTTTTTTTTAAAGGAAAATATGAGAAGTCATCAAACTAATTAATAAAGTATTTTACATAATGGTGTGTTTTTCACAAATATCCAGTACCTGCAGCTATATAGGTTTTGAAGTGAAATATAGCTTAAACATTAGAAGTAACTATGCAGTTCAACTCAAGGTTGCACAAACAGGCTAACAGCCAGAGGTACTGTCTTTTTTTCCTGCCAAGGTCATATTGAAATAGACACTGTTTGGTTTTCAGCGGAGCCCAGATGCATTTCTCTCTTTAGATATTTTTTTTTCCACTCTGTTTACCAAATAGTCATGATTGCATGAGCTGCTGAATCAGGTAGTGGCTGCCCCCTGGTGGTATGGGAACCTGTTTAATATGGATTGCTCAAAATATCAAAAGGCAGGTTTAGAGCTTGTGTGTGTGTGTTTTGAGATTTGTTGGGTTTTTTGTGGGTTTTTTTGCTTTTTGTTCTTGTCTTAGTTTTTGTTTTTCACAGAGAACTATTTCTAAAATAGAACTATCCTATACTTCTAATATCTTAATTTCTGGTACCTTAAATCATGTTGGGTTTTTTTTAATTTTCTTCTTATGACCCATTTAACCCCTTGAGATAGATACAAATACATCACTTATCTATCTATCTATCTATCCATCTATCTATCCCTACAGACCATGAGTACAATTCTCTAAACTGGCTCATAGTCACATAAGTAAGGGTTGCATTATCCACCCAATCCTACTGAAGGGGAAGGTACAAATTAAATTTACAATACAATTAAATTTTCATATAGAAGATGCCAGAGATTATAATATCTTGTTTTTTGTTATAGCAGTAAAATGGAGGTGATTGTGTGTATTTGTTAGATGTATTAATAAATGTTTATAATCATAGGGACATTCACATATCACCTGTATGCCTGGACCAGTGAGAAGATGGAATTACCCTATTCCCATATGTTTGGGTATGTCTATTGGATGTTATAATTATTTTTCATGCTGCTAGAATGAAAGCTGTGCAAGAGGTTAGAGATGAAGTGTTCTCATCCTGAATCAAAGGGTTTGTTTGTGGAAAAAAATGTCCAAAAGAATTCAGACTAGCCTTGAGTCTATAAGACTACCTTGCAAACAGGCCCTATTTTGTGAAGGTTTCCCAGAATAATCAAACTGGTAGAGGAAAGGCAGAAATATATCAAGCAGAATCTCCTATATCATGGAAGAGAGACGAGAAAAAGAATCAAGTCTTCTAGAAATAGAACTAAGCATATATTATTTGTTTAGGTAATATGTCCTACAGAACCAAATTAAATAAAAAATAATTGCAGTTCTCAGTTTTTCTGATTCTAACATCAAATCTTTGCTTAAGAAGGGCCTGGGACAAGCCCAACCTCAGCATCAGTAACAGTGCTCCTAGGGGCTGGTCTAGCCTGCCTGACCCCAGCTCCTCTGTACTGCTGCCAGTGTCTCACCTGCCACACCTGGATAAAATAAATTGTCCTGAGAGAAGTGCCCAGAGGTCTGGAGTGGTGTTTTTTCCTTGGGCTGTCTTGATCTGGGCTTACTTGACTGGAATGGAAAAATTTCAGCCATCTCAGTCAGCCCAGCTACAGCCCAGCTGGTGCTAATTCACCTCAGGGCTGTATTTGTGGCCTACGGGCTCCCCACATAGCTGCATCCAGACTTCATGGGTGTTAATCAGTCATAACCCCTTCTTAGAGCCACCAGGTTCAATAGGTCACACCTATCTAGGCATTAACCCTGTGGATTTTGGTGTCTTTGCTTTTTCTGCTGCCTTTATCTTGGGTCCCTTATTCTGGCCTTGGCTGTTGTGACAGCAGCCAGTCTGCTGGGGTGCTAAGCCCCCGCTTTGGTCCATATTGCTGTCACTGGACTAAACCTCTCACATTCTGGACTTCAGGCTATGGAGGGGCTATACCCATTCCTCCTGGGTTCTCCTAACCCTGCAAAAATGCTTTCCCCCTCACTAGGTTTCCACTCTTGCTGGGGGTTAAAACCTCACAGGGTACGTTAAGGCACCAGTGATGCAGCCTCCAAGCCTCCCCTCACAGCGACTTCCAGTCTTCCTGATGTTACTATCCCGATCACAACAAAAATGTACAGCCTCTCCCGGTACTCAGTATAACTTGAGCTGAAATCATTCCCACTCTGGGCAAACAGATAGCACAAAAAAGAGGTTTCTTTCCCTTTGCATGCCTGGGCTCCTCTTACCGTGACTCCCATCTCTACAGCAGTCTGCCTGGGAGCTTGCCATCCTTCCCCAGCCAGGGTTACAGTGAGCTTGTTGGTTTATGGATGAGTTTCTTATACCTGTAAGTCTCTCTCTTTCTAGCCAGCTGGTCCTATCACTTGGTGTGAGCACAGTGGTCCCTCATTAGTCCTTTTAGCTCTGCTTGTTTTCACTACATGTGTGACAGGGCCACATGTGTTGGTCATTGCCAATAGTTTGTCTCCTTTTTCCCTATGGCTGCTTGCCTCCAGGGGCTTTTCCCTAGTGGCATTACTATCTACAGGTCTATCTCTTGGGACTTAAAAGACCCTCCCAAGTTTTGCTTACTTGTCTGAGTAACAGGGCAAAGCTTCCCTGTTACAAGTACATTATTTCAAAGGTTGAGCTGCAGACATAGCCAGTTATGTAGTGCTGACAGCTGCATTAGCAGCTTGCCAAAATACCAAAGGAAGCATTTTATCTGCATTAAAATATATCAGTCAGTGTCCATGTGAACCCAGATGACACCTTTGGCTAGCCTGATTAAGCCAGCTTATGTGGCCAATGCCACAGTAGTCAGCTATATGGTCAGCATTTGTTTCTAGCTGCCTCTGACTGCCAGTCCAAAAGACCAGTCATTTACATCTCAGTTGAGTGGAGACCAGTCTTGAGAATGAATCTAGAGCAAAGCTTGAATACATGCTTCTGGAGCTATATCAAGACATCTTAACTGCTGTGCCAACACACTTCTATACAAAAATATGTATGAAAAACAATTCTTAGAACTGCAGTACTCCATCCTGTTGTATCTGTTAAAAATAAAAATCCTTTAGGCTCCCTACCCACACATTTTTCTTGTCATCTTGCTATTGCACAAAGAAGATTGCTGCACATCACATTTTAAGTTTGCATGCAATATATACTACTTGCACTGTTTTGAGCCAAAGAGACTCCTGACCTAAGCAATAGACAGCCTAATTCTGCCAGGTAGTAAGCACTTCCTTTCACGTGCTAGGGTCCACCAATTATGGGTGCTTAATAACATTCAAAAATTGTTTAACACTTCTCAAGATCATGCCTCTAGTTTCCTTTGTCTTCAATCAACATCAGTTCTCTTGATATGAATGAAAAGATAATATTCATAACTATGCATATAGTTGGAGATTCTGTTCATACTACTTTAGGGAGTAAATGCTTAAGAAAAATCCTTAATCTCATCCTAAAATTTTAATATTTTGTAGAGGTTTTTATAGCAAGTGAACAGTGGTTTTAAAATACTTTAAAGGAATATAGTTAAGGCTAGCAGGTAAAAATTGAAGCTGGCTTCAAGTTGTATTCATCCTATCTGTCATCTTGGTTTCTTAACATACATTTACTTTTTAAATCTAGCACTACAAAGTAAATAAATATTAAAATCACTAAGTTACTAAGACATCAAGCCCTAAGGAATTGGTTTCTTTGAAGTTATGGATGTGTGTGTGTGTGTGCATATTTTACCTTTTCTTCACTCTGTGTATTGTAGCTGCTTCATTTTTTATGAGACTAGGTACTGAAATACTGTATTTAAAAATGCTTTCTGAAGAGTTCAGAGAGTAAGATGCTTGTATTTTTCGATACATTCAGCTTCAGATACACTTGCACAAGTTCACTAGGAATTGTGCCAGTATGACTGAGTGTTGAATTGCAGCACTTGTCTGCTCAAAAAATGGGTCAGACACATGGAGTGAAGGCACATTTTGACCTGCACATCTACACATATGTCAAATTCTCCTAACCTCAAACCTGGTTAATCAGTATCACTTTTACAATGCTTGTGTGTAGAAGATTGTTACACAAATGTAATGTTAAGATGAGATAATGAATTGTACATATGTTTCAAATATAAAATTAATCATTTTAAAATTAAGTACAGTTAAGTTTGAGATGTGAAGGCTTGAATTGATCAATTATCTAACTTTACTCAACAAGAATCTCTGTCGTTCTGCAGCACAATGTGGCGGTGGTATGTCAGACTTCAGTGGAGTGATCCTTAGCCCTGGGTTTCCTGGCAACTATCCCAGCAGTTTAGATTGTACATGGACAATCAAGCTGCCTATTGGCTTTGGTACGTATCCTTTCAAGGATTATCCTGTTGCTTGTTGTTATGGTTCTAGAATGGTGAAAAAAATCTTTATAATATTTTAAATATTTGTATTGGCCAATTGATTTAAAATGTTTTAGGGATAGTCCATGTCATAAAAGAGAGATTTTAATTTAGAGAAAATCTATTGTTTTCATGTATGCATACAGAAAATAATAACATCACTATAGCTCCAGCTACTCATTTGCTTGTACATGTTTTTTTAACACAAAACTAAAATTGACTATTTTGAAAGCTTAGCCCATTATTATCAGCATTTTATTTTTAGAGCATGTATGTTGCTTTATTCCAGAGCATTTCCCAAAGAGAGAAATTATATTAGTATATCTAAACATAAATAACAAGAAGAAATATAAGAAATAAAAACAAATGCCAAAAATGTTAAAACTACATTTTCCAGCACCTTTTCTGCATTTGTCTTAACCGCAAAGCCAACATATTGTGTGTTGTGTTTGTTTGGTTATCTGTATTCTTAAGGGTGAAAAAGTCCATGTAAAAGTGAGTTTAAAGTGATTATTTGCCCAGTAAGTAATTAATCAGAGCAGGGAGTTTCCTTCCCTCCTTTCCCTGGCCTTCTTTCTTCCCAAACACCTTAGTAGTGTTTAAAACTAAGTAATTTGGGGGGGGTGGAGGGGTCACCTCAATTTGGGTTGTATTTAAAGAAATATTTCTGGGTAAAGATCTCAGTGGTTTACCAGTTTTTATTGAAATATCCCATTCAATCTCATATGGATGAATTTATAAATAAATGTGGTAGTGTATGTGTGATTTTGTAACCATGATGATCTAGAAACTTTGCAAGAGGCAAGGATTTCTTCAGGAGAGGTTTGATACCTGAGCAAGAATGTCTTGCATTCAAAAGCTTGTCTAACTCTGTCCCAACTACACTACTCGGTCCAATAGAAGATATCTTTCTAAGAAATCCATGCCTCTTGCATAAATAAATATGTCACTTCAGAAATTACTCTTAAACACAAAGAAAAGGTAGGAAATTTCCAAGTGGAGCTTGTTGATCAGCTCAGATTAAAAAAAAACCAAACAAAAAAACCCACCATACATATATTTAGGTATCTTTAATCTGGTGGAATGTAATCTGAACAGGAGACATCAGTGGTCTACTGGCAAATGTAATCTTATAATAGAAATACCAGAAGAAAATATTTTTTTAACTTGTAGACTTTTTTTCTATGAACCACATGACCCTCTCAGTCATTTGATTCACACCATTGATGCTTTACAGATGAGGAAATGTGGCACAAAAATTAAGGTTACTTTTGGGTGTCCTGATTTTTCAGAGTACTTTTCATTATATAGCACTTTAAGCATTCAAAACACAGTTCTCAGTGCAAAGTTCATTTGCATCTGTGTGCGCTCAGAATCTGTACATCAAAGTGCCTCATCTCAGATCAGGCAGGCATTAAGAGAATAAGAACACACAGGGAATGAATGGTTACTGGTTAAGTAATTTGCCTATCACCATTTCACACAGATTTCCTGTGGCAGCATCATGGAAAGAACCATATTCTTCAGGTCAGCATTTAGCTGCTTTAAACGTCCCTTTTCCCTTTTGTGATCACCTGCCTCATCCACTGTAAATGAATTTAAGAGTGCTATAGAAATGACATAATCTTGATGTCAATTCCCTGATTCATCACCTCGTTCACTAAGTAAGTAAGAAGTCTATGAAGGGAAAACAATGTATATATGACACTCCCAGTCTCCTTGACCAAGCAGTCCAAGACCCTGGGTCCTCTCCCTAACATTGCCCTCCAAGCAAACCTGCCTCCAGTGCTTGTGTCCCTGATACTCATTTCTACCAGTCCTAGGCCATGTACAGACATTCAGTTACCACTGGGACAGTAACTTTTCTCCCAGGAGAAACCAGGAGTATACTGGTCTTCAGGATTTTTCTCCCGCAGCAAAATAGCCTGGGGATAACCAGGGTTAAATCACTTTGAGGAGAGGCTCTCCTGGACGATTCAATGTCTGTACATATTGTCTTCTGAGCAAACCCATCGCCCAGTCCTCCATCATTCCAGGGTGCTTTGCTCCTCTCTTTTCTCCGCATGGAGACAGTGTGTTGCTCACTGGATTCTGCTGCTTCAGCAAAACAGAAAGCAGAACACGACCCCTTTGCAATCCCCACATTATGCTACAGGGAGACAAAACCTGTGAGACAATCTGGGTCAACCAGTCAGGACTACCCTGTATACTGCTTCTGTTTGTCACCAGGCTGACTGGGAGCCTGAAGAGCACACTAAAATGTGTTCACAGGGACCCCCTGATTGTGCACCATCAGCACATCAAGCTCTTTGCTCTTCAGGGACATAGTATTCAAATGTCTGTTCAGGCATCTCCAAGTAAGTTTTTTTCTACCAAGAGAGCAAACCCAGAAGAATTCTCTCAGATCACTTGAGCACATGTACACAGCCCCAGGCCTCTCCAGTTCTGTGCCTAGCTTCTCCGTTCTTCTGCCTACGTTCTTGTTCTGGTCTCTGACCAGCCAGTCCCAGCTGTCCTATACCCAGCTTCTCAGAACCATTTCCCTCCCTCCTCACCTGTTCCTAATTCAGTACAAGTTCTCAATCTCCAGTCTTCCCAACAACTGATCATGAGATCTTAGTTTCTTACTCATCTACTCACTCTTTTCTCCCCATTTTAGAGACCCCATCACTATGCCAAATAAGTCACAATCTCCATTTCTCCCCACTAGCCTTCACAGATCTGGTTCCTGTTCCTTTTTTTAATCCAAAGCAGTGATATCCTTCCTCCTGCAGAGGTTGTAGTATCATTGAGAACACAGGAGAGAAATGTTTCCATTTCTCAGTTTGCATACAGAGACTGATCCCAGAGCTGCATGTCAGAGCAAATCCTGCTCGGCTGCTGTCTAGAGCATGCCTAGTGTGGACCTAATCCTCAGAAAATTTAGGACAATATCCAAATCATTCTCAAACAACCTTTAGGCAGAATTTAGAAGCCCAAGTCAGAAAAAAATATTCAAATCAACTATACTCAGCATCTGCAAAACAATTAGATACTTGTGATCGGCCTGCAAATATATCTTGGTGCTTAGAAGCAATGCAGATCAAGCACTTCTATGCTAACTCCCATCTAAGCAATATTAAAGTCTTGATCAGAGCCAAGAGAGATCTAAATGCTACCTATATCCCCACCTGTTAGGTATTTGCAGAACACAACTAATTTGACACAGATAACCTCAAATTCAGCACAAAGCACAGTTCTAATTGCTATTTCTAGACTTCTATATGCATTTTTACATTATAGAGACAATGGTTAAAAATAAAAAATTAATCTAGCAGCAGGGACCAGAATCCATCTGCCCCTTCTTCCTTCCATGGTGTTGCACTTTCTCTATATAAAAGAGTAATTGTATCTGTAATTAAATCATATACTAAAGTTTTTTTTTTCCAGTAGAAAATAAAATGTTATATGATTTAGAAAACCATTCACAAGGTGCATATGTTATCCAAAAACAAATCTCTAAGATGTAGTGACAAACTACCTTTTAGATATCAAGGTGTAGATAGTTATAAAAACATTTATGGCATTTGAATAATTACATTGGCATTACATGTTTTCTATTAAACATTATATTAAATCATAGTGATCGTCTTTGCCAGAACAACTGATGGGGTGCAATCATCTTTGTAATTGAAGCACTGCATTATCATTCCATACTTGTGCTAGATCACTTCAGACAGAAAAAAAAAAACTGTTTAATTTTACCTTATTGAGAACACTATAAAAAAAGAAAATGTTTAAAGAGCCCTCCTTCTACTAATTGGATGAGCAACTTCTCCCCCTACTATCCTCTAATAATTGTAACAAATCATCTGGATCAGATAGATTAGCTACCACTCATATAATAAGCTTCCTGTTGTTCATCATTGAATCAATCAAAAGTCTCTCTCTGTTTACAAGAGTATCATATAGCACAGTTTGTGAGGAACTGCATATTTAATTATTAGGTTGAGATGCTGATAAATGTATCCCATAATATTAGATTCTTTTGTTTTCTTTTTGTTTTTTTTAAGCCCAAGTAAGTTATGGATGCATTATTCATTCATTTCATTAAATTGATTTAATGCTCTCTAAGAAATAAAAATTCAAAACACTCTGCATTATATTATACTTAGATATAACTTTATCTACCACTGAAATGCACCTGTTTTTTAGGTGCATTTGATTGCTGTCGACTTAATAATAGATAAATAATAATAATGTTTCCCATTGAAATTCCACTTCACCCAGTAGCCTATGATTTCCTTGGAGAGCTTTCAGCCAAGTACTACTTTTATGGTTTCTTTTTCTTTTCAAAGGAATCAAAGTAAGCTCTATCTAACTGAATCTAGAAGGAGATTCTAGGTAGGCAAATGTAATTACCAATTGTAAAATTTGACTTTGGGGCTAAAAGTCCTTTTTTCTTTGCCAGAATATACCAAAGAACAATCACAGATTCAGGGCTTTATTTCATCCCTTTGGATTGATAACACCTGCAATAGCAACAAACTTTATCTTTTCTTCATATTAGACAAGGGCAGTGGTGCTCAACCCCCAGTCCATTGGCCAGGTTTGGCTAACAGAGCTATGTTATCTGGCCCATGGGGCTCCCTAAAGGTCTAGACATTTGACAGAATGGGATCTGTGGCAGGTAATAGCTGCTTCCCTGGATCTAGAGTGCTAGCATGGCACTGCAGGCTAGATTGACAACATAGGGCCAATTAGGGCAGCATAAAACCTAGTCAGGGAGCACAGGACTGATTAGGCCTCCACACCAGCCTCATGCCACTTACCTATCCCATGGAGTCAAAAGATTGAGCACCACTGGAGAAAAGGAAAGAAGGTTTTATTCTGAGTAGCCAAGATTATATTCAAAATGGATGGGTTTAAGTTAAGAATCTCGTCCCACTATTTCCTTATGTCTGATATCAACATTCCAGATGACCATTACCTCTTGTTATCAGGATACAGTTTTCATACTTGAATATATTCATCGTATTGATACTGCATGCTTTTGTTTACCAATATTATTTTCCAGGAGTGCATTTGCAGTTTGTAAATTTTTCCACTGAGACAATACACGATTACTTAGAAGTAAGAAGTGGATCTACTGAGACTAGTACTGTTATTGGGAGACTTAGTGGTCCTCAGCTACCATCTCCTCTGTTTAGTACAACCCATGAAACCAGCTTATATTTTCACAGTGACTATTCACAGAACAAACAAGGGTTTCATATTATATATCAAGGTGAGTTGTTTGATACACATATGCATAAAAAAGATGTTTGTTAATAGATGTTTTTTCTTTTCTTTGTTAGAAGATAAACATGAAGGTGTATTTTGGAAAAAAGTTTTGTCCACAATTCAAAACTGCTATGTTATATGTTAGGTAATGAGGACAGTACTAGGGTGGGATGGAAAAGCTCCTCAATTCACAGCACATGATGATTTAGAACAAAACATGAATGTTATATGCTGTTAAACCTGCTGGAATTTGGACAATATTTTGGCAATAATATGCTTGCTTATTCCAAAATAACTTTTACAATATTTAATAATCTGAAAGAAACAAGAGCCCCAGCTTAATGTCTTGTATCATAATGCCTCATAACATCATTCTGGAGCACAGAGTACATAGTGCCATTCAGTGAATATCTAGGCCCCTGACAGACATTAATTTAATTTCATGTTCAGGATGCAACACATTTTATCTCAGATTCCCAAAAACACATGGCATGATTTTTTGGGATCTGGCATAACATTTGTTGGATCCAAATCATGTTACAGGAGGATGGGGAGCCCATGGGTAGGAAGACTAAGTCCCAGATCCTGGGTTTCCCACCTGCCTGGATGTTCAAAGGGCATTGTGGAAAGCACAGTACCAAGTATTGGTTTCTGATGCAGTGCTTCCTATGCTGCCCTTTCAGCCTTTCTCCCTATGTTGTGTCATTAATTGCCTTAATATGTGTCAAGCTTACTGCTTATGATATGATTAACACATTAATCACCTCATAAGTATAACATATGCCAAGGGCCCAGATCTACTTTAAGCAGCAACTTGTGAGAATGCCCAGCTTTGGAAAGTTCTCAGACAAGAGAACCTCATGAACTAGTGATATATCATTGCCTTAAGTTCCATGACTACAGACCCATTTACAAGGAATAAGGTCTGTACTGTTTGCAAAAAGGACCCAATTTTTAATACAATTACCATTTTCATGTATGGATTTTAAGATGCGGTGAGGTTGTTACACTATACATGCTTTCAAAAGGAAAGGGGTTAAATTTGTAGGTAAATAGCTTTAGATTCTATAATATCATGGAAGCCACTTGAGAGCATACCTTACTAGAAAACATTGGTGCATATAACATTACATGACTTGATACTCTGATGTTCACTTATTTAAACAAAACTTTTTTCTGAAAATTTAGGTTTTGTGCCATATGAATAAATTAATATAAAGAGAGCATTTTTAAGTCTACTGCTATGCAGTACTTTGGAAGAGCTAAATATTTTGTGATTAGTATTGTATACCACAGCTGCAGCAATACAGTACATGTTGAAAGAGAGACCATTGCAAACCTATAAAGTATTAGGGGGTATTACTAAGTGGGGTTCAAGAGAAGTTGGAGCTAGACTGTTCTCAGTGATGGCAGGTGACAGAAGAAGGAGCAACAGTCTCAAGTTGCAGCAAGGAAAGTATAGGTTAGATATTAGGAAGAATGTTCTCACTAGGAGGGCAGTAAAACACTGGAACAGGTTACCCAAAGAGTTGGTGGAAGCTCCATTCTTGGAGGCTTATAAAACCCAGATAGATAAAGCTTTGGCTGGGATGATCTAGTTGGGGATGATTCTGCTTTGAGCAGGGGGTCCCTTCCAACCCTAACTTTCCATGATTCTATTCTGGAAAATGCTCTTTTTAATATTTTAAATACTTTAGAGAAAGATCAACTCTCACCAAATATGGGTTCAAACTAAGGTCTTCCAGTTGTCCAGATGCTATACAGCACTTTTGTCAACAAAGTATACACATTATTAATGACTAGATAGATTTAATAGATTTTCATAGATTCCATAGACATTAGGGCTGGAAGGGACCGCAGAAGATCATCAAGTCCAGCCCCCTGCCTGAAGGGCAGGAAGTCAGAAGAGGTCATAGGATCCCAGCAAGATAAGCATCCAAATTTCTCTTGAAGATGTTCAATGTAGGTGCTTGAACCACCTCCGATGGCAGACTATTCCAGACCTTGGGGGCTCAGACAGTAAAGAAATTCTTCCTTATGTCCAGCCTGAAACGGTCTTGCAGTAGTTTATAACTGTTTGACCTCATCATCCCTTGGGGCGCTCTGGTGAACAAACACTCCCCCAGATACCAGTGTTCACCCCTGATAAACTTATAGGTGCCCATCAGATCACCCCTGAACCTGCAGTTTTCCAGGCTAAAGAGCCCCATAGCTCTCAGCCTGTCGTCATAAGGTCTGTTTTTCTGACCTCTGACAATGTGCATGGCTCTTCTCTGTACCCTCTCAAGCTTCTCCACATACTTTTTGAATTGTGGGGCCCAAAAATGGATGCAGTACTCCAGCTGCAGCCTCACCAAGGTTGAATACAAGGGGCGAATGACATCTCAGGATTTGCTTGAGAAGCATCTATGGATGAAAGCCAGCATTTTGCTCGCTTTACTAGCTGCAGCATCACATTGCAGGCTCATGTTCATCTTTTGATCAATGATGACCCCCAAGTCTCCTTCTGCCATTGTGCTAGCCAGTGTAGCACTGCTGAGCCTATAAGGATGCTGCAGGTTTTTCT